AGGGGTTTCTGCGGGGTCTGTGGCCGCGGCGGCTGTTCTGGTTGGGTTTGCTTTGTTTTCAGGTGACTTTCTTTCCAGCGGGGGCCGGGGTTTGGCAGCGCACTGGGCTGCTCTCCGTGGTGATGCCGGGGGTCTGGGGTCCCCGAGGCCCGCGCCCCCCCCTCCTGAGGGGCAGCCGGGGGGTGATGGAAGGTGAAGGTGAAGTTCTTCGCCAGCTTGGCCCCGTCGCGGAGGTTGGCTCGTGCTGGCGATGCTGCTGGCTCTTGGTTGTCACTTCCACCGCCAGCGAAGCACGGAGGCAGCCCCGGGGAGCCGGTGGGTGACATGGCCTTTGGCCCGGGCCCACCCTGCCCTGGCATCCTGCTCGCTGGGTTCCCGGCCCCGGGGAGCTGCCCTGCGCCCGAGGTGTGGTGCTCGGTTTGTCTTGGCGCCGTCCCGCCGGTGGGAAAATGCCTCCGGAGGGGTAGGGCTGGGACCCGGTGAACATCAGCCCTGGAGGGACGAGGTGTCCTCTTCCTGGAACATCTACAGATAGATTTTTGACCTGGGCTAAGGGTTTCTGTTACATTATAAACAGCCAAACGTCCTGCCACGTAGCCGTGGCTTTGCCTGAGTCAGGCTGATCACCCTCCCTGTAGCTTTAGACGGCGTCTGCTTTGAAATGAGGGCTTCACCCTTTTGGTGGGAAGCCCTGAAACCAGCAGGCAAGGTATCATTTCCTAAAACTACCATGAGATCATCTTTGGACTAACACATCCAAGCTACTGCAGGTGGCTCTTTAGTCTGAAATTCAAATTACGTGTCTCCTCTCTGCATCTGTGATTCTACTGTGTTTTGTTTCTCGTCACAAAAAACATTTCTGGTTTTTAGTATAATATGTTCGAGATCTGCTTGTGTGAAATCTGTATGGGAGAGGATAGAAACAACATCCAGCGGACAACTCCCTTTCTCAGTTTAACGGCTTGTTTAACGTCACGGGACAGCTGATTGGGACTTTCCAGGTGTTGCCGCGCTGGTGCAGAGCATACAGAATAGAGACAGACACACAGAGCACAGCAAGGACTAGAGTACGCTCTCCCGATGCAAATGGGCTGCGGGAGCACACGCCTCGCCTGCGGTGACCTGTCTTTCTGGCTTTTCTCTGCTGATATTCACTTTATCTGCCTGTGGTATTTCCTTGTCAGCCAGGGCAGAGGGTGCCCAGGGCTCAGCTTACCCACTCCCCCGGTCCTGCTCTGGGGTGCCCAGCGCAGCGAAGCCTCCGAGCCGGGGTTTGGCCGGTTGTTGTCACGAGAAGCTGTTTGCGAGCGGACTTTGTCCGTGCTGGTGTTTTGTTGGTACAGCCACAGCGGCTGCTAACCTGGTCGCAGGCAGCGTGTGGGCAGAGCAGGTCTGCCGGCGTGCCCTCGGCCTGTCACTGCGCTTAAGCTTGCTCCATATAATTGACCAGTCCTTAAATAGCACTGCTGATTGCTTGAGTTAATTTTACAGCCTGCCTGCCCTCTCCTCCCCAAAAACCACACAAATTGTGCTGCAGCTTCATGAGGACGTGCTGGGTGGGTGGTGACGGTGGCTGTTGGCCGTGCAGAGCCTGACAGTCCATGGGGTTGGAGCAGCTTGTATCAAGGCAGGAGGGCTCATCCCCGTGCAGGTTGTCTGATGGGATCTGTTGCGCCGAGCAGGACCAGGCTCTAATTATGCTTTGTGTCCCTGTCTACCCTCATCCTGTGCCCAAACATCTCCACGGACTTCCAGAAACGAACGTGCCGTGTGCGTGCGGAGCGCGGCTGGGGTATGGACACTGCTGGCCAAAGGCTGCTCCCCTCTGAGCCTCCTGGGCGTGAGATGTCACCGGGCTTGCAGGGGATGGCAGCCAGCTCTCCGCTGTAGTAGCCCGTGCGCTGCGCTGGCATTGCAGCCATTTGCTTGAAAAGCCCCTTTTGTGGTCTCTGCTCCTCGCTGGCCCAGAGAGCAGCGTAACCCCGGCGCGGGGACTGCAGCGGGACGGCTCTGCCCACGGGCTGTGGACTCACTGCCATCCTGCCTGGGGCTCAGCCTTCCCGGTGACCTCGCCTGGCCCCGTGCATGAAGGTGCTGCAAGCGCTGCTCCCCTGGCTGGACCCTGTGGGCGCCCGGCCGGGGCAGCCCCTGCGGCGAGGCGAGGCAGCCACGCTCTTCCTCCACCAGCGAATCTTCCAGTTGGCTTGCATGGCTGGTATTTCTTGCTTTCCTGTTTCCTCCTTTCTCTGCTGGGTTTGCAGGATGCCCGGAGGCTTTGGCTTGGTAATTTGCCAGGGAATTAAAGCCATGATTACCATTCCTGTGTCTTTGCAGCACCGTGGGTGCAGGCCAGCATGCATCCTCCTTTGGGGCATGAATCGTAGTTCCTGCTAGGATTAGGTTCCTCTTGGCATGAAGTACGTCCCAAGGCTCTGGTCCTGCCTGAAGACTGCTTTCCTCTTTCTTTGGCCTCTTTCTTAAACTCGATTGGGTCCTCTGCGTTTCCAGCAAGACCCTGTGCAGCGTTGGAGGAAGGAAAGTTAAACCACACTTGCTGCTTTATTCTTGATGGAAATGAGGAATCTGTGTCTGAAAATTGCCACGGTTTCTCCCCACTCCAGGGAATTCCAGAGTAGGAAAGGAGCATTGGGAGGACGCGGCAGCGATGTGAAGACATTCTTCTACCCCCTTGCTGAGCTTTATGAACCTTGGTTTTGGGTGGGTGGCATGGCCTTGGCTCCGCTCTCTCCGTGCAGTTTTGCCCCCTTCTCAACCCTGGTGTGATGTTTCTTTCCCACCCTTGAGTTGCAGTCTGGCTCCTTTCTTGCTAACAATAACACCAATGTGTAATTTTGCAGGTGACATTATCAGCAGGCTGGTGGGGATCTGTAGGCATAGCTGGGCAGAGGCATGGGTGGAGAGTCTAGCTAGCCCTGATGGCACTTTGACTGAGGACCTGTTGTCCTCTTGCGTGAGGTTTCAGCCTGCCCTAGGGCTGTTCTCTCTATCCCAGCAGCCTTTCTTCCAGGTAGGAGAATCTGTAGCCTTTGGAAGGCACATCCGAACGCACAGTTAGGTTTGCAGCACATGGGTTTTCATCACGTTGCGTGTCACAGGGAGGCGGCACGCTGTGTGGTACGTGTATCCCGAGCTGGGTAAGACGGGTAACATCAGCCCGTGCGTTCAGCAGAGACAGACAAGGGCACAGCTCTTGCCTTTTGACACCCTAAACTGCTGCTGGAGCCCAGAGCACCCCTGCGCTACCAGCACCCATCTGCTCTGCACCATTTGCCCCAGTGTTTGCTGCTGTCTACTCTGCTGCTTTTTCCTGCGCCATCAACTTTTCCTCCTGACCTTTTCCTCCTCCTCTGTGCCTCCAGTGATCTGTGATCTTCAGAGCACATCCCAGAGCGTAGTTAAGGCATCTTTTAGTGTTTGCTGGCTCCAGGTGATGCTTTTGTAGTGGAGTTGTGGATGGTTCTGGCTGGAGGAACAGTGTGGATCACCACCTATCTAGTGAGGCTGGGATGAGAAATCAGGGACACACAGGGCTCCTCTCCAGCAGCCTTAGAACTCCTCTGTGCTTCTGTGGGTGGATGTAACCTGCCCCCAGCAGCCACCCCAGCAACTCCTGTGCTCTCTCCCTTTCAGACTCCCTGTATGTCTCCGAGTACTTCTCTCAGAGCGCACAGAAGCTGTCCTTCTACAGCTGGTATGGGAACGCCAAGCTCTTCCACTTCCACGTCCCAGAAGACACTGTGCTGCTTCGCTGGCTCCTGCAAGCGTCCCGGGGGAAAGGACCTGAGTGCACCAGCATGGAGATCACAGTGTGCGTATGTCCCTGTGCCGGTGCTTGCCCAGGGGGGCTTCCTGTCCTTCTCTTGTCCTTGTTGCTCCTGCCTGTGGTTGGTTGGGTGTAGGAGGCAGGGCATCTGTTCCCCAGTTGCAGCAGGCAGTTTCTGAATGTACTAGCACTAAATCCGCGTTTAAACCTGTAGGAGTACTTTGTGTTCACCAGTGGCTGTGGGGTTGTCTATCAGATGTGGTGTCAAAGAGACACCTTAGAAACACTGGAGAGAGTTGCACAGCAAGGCTGGTGTTGGTGCTCACGAGCAAAGGTGTTCCCAGACCTTCCTGTGCCGGGCAGGATCCTGCGCGTGGTACCAAAGGATGTTTCAGGACTGCAAGGGACTTGACCCAAACCGATTGGAGACGGACAAATTCCCCAGTACAGAGGAACTGAAGAGACTGGGGACACTTTGTGAGGGACGCGGCTCTGTGTGGAGCAGAGATAGGAGAGGAATGCCGAGTCCTGCAGACACAAGAGCGTGAGAAGATTGCAAACTCAATGCCAGTGAAAGAAATGCTGCCTAAAGCAGTACTTGAGTTGCTGGAGGATTTGAAGTCAAAAACTTGCAAGACTTTGAGCTGTCTCTTGGGAGGGTACCAAGTTTCCTGGGCAAGTTGTGCCCGTAGAGACACGTGGCTCTCTGGCACCCACCCCACAGAGGTCTCAGAAGTGACTGAAGCTGCTTGGCTTGCGCTTCCCTGGTGTGTCCTGGACACAGACTGGTGCTCTTAGTTGTTCCAGAGCAGCCTGGCACAGAAGATCTTCCACTTTCTGCTTCCCAGAAAGGTTTCCAATAGTTTGAGGATGTGAGGGACAAGCCAAGAGCTAAACGATAGTCTTCATTTCTTAGGCTAAGCTCAAACGGGTTAATGACAGATCACCTGTCACATTTGCTTGCTGGGCCTGCTATGTTCTGTTGCAGTGTAGTCCAAAAGCGAGCAAATTAAACGCCAAATTGGCTGCCCAAATAAATATCTCGCCTGTTACTTAGCTGCCTGCTTTTCTGCTACTTCAAACATCGGGCTGCTTATCTGGAAAGCAGAAGTGCTGGTGTACTGAAGTCAGTCACATGGTAAGTATCTTTCTAGTCTGCCTGCCCACCCTCCTTGCAAGAGGAAATAGGGAAGACGCAGATCTTAGCTAGAAAATGAAAGCTCCTCGCTGATGATTTAGTCTATATGGGGGATTTGCTGATGGTAATGAAAAAGGAGTGGTCTTGCAGCTGGGGCTTAACCTCACTAAGTGTGGAAATTTGCTTTCAGGGCTGATGGAACCATGTAAATCCTTATCTTAATAAGCAGTCAGGTTAAACCAATCGCTAAGCAAATCCCGGATAAGCTAATAGAAGCCAGTCATCACCAGATGAAGATGATGGCTCTTGTGGTTCACTTGGAAATGTGGGGGTTTTCCAGCCTGCTTCCTCTCCGATCCTAGGCCAGCCTGGGTGCCCACCGATGAGTTTGTATCCCAGTTTATCTTGCCAGCGTCTTTACATCCCTCAATTGATTGGCATTCTGTGTCACAGGCACTTTCGCTACGGAGCCCCTCCTGTGATCAATCCACTGGGCACTCGTTTTCCTGCAAACGCGACCGTCCGTCCTTCCTATAACATAAGCATCACTCTGAGCAGCGCTGTGCAGAACACCACCTTTGTGAACGTCACCACCCCTGCTGCCGGAGACTGGTTCATCGCTGCCCATCTCCCTGAGGCTGCTGGCAGGATTGAAGTGAAGGTCAGGCTCCTGGTGAGGGTCTCAGCCATCATACTCTGCCCAGGGTGTCTCGCCACAGCTGACCCGTCCGCTCTCCCCTCCTGCAGGGTTTCTCCACTCCGTGCCCCTATATGTTTCAGGCAGATATGTTTGTGCTCAGACTCACTGATATGCCTGTTCTGGAGCCTGGTGTTCCCATGCCACAAACCATCGTCTCACCTGCTAAGCCACTGCATGTCAAGTAAGTGAGAGCAGCGGATGGGAAGGCTTGGGGCCACGCTGGGGTGGGATCTTCCATGGGTGCTGCCTGGGGGAAGCCGCTGCTGTTCCCGTGTGGGGCTGGAGCTGGGGGGTCTCCAAGCCTGTTTGCTGAGCTCCCTGCGGTGGTGGGGTGTGCAGGGGGAGCACGTGAGCACCCTTCTTCGACTCTTCCCTCTTAGAGGTTCAGCTGCAGGAATTTTAGTTCTGTGAGATGTTTCCCGTGGGAAGGATTTTCACACCACCAGCTGGGGCAATCTAGTTGTGCTGGTTTGGGTTGGGATAGAGTTAATTTTTCTTCACAGTAGCCAGTATGGGGCCATGTTTTGGATCTGTGCTGAAAACAGTGTTGATAACACCAGGGTGTTTTTGTTATTGCTCAGCAGTGCTTATGCAGAGTGATCTGCTTCTCACCCCGGCAGTGAGTGGGCTGGGGGTGCACCAGGGGCTGGGAGGGGACACAGCCGGGGCAGCGGATCCCAACTGATATTCTGGGGTTAAACCATGACACTAGTTCTTGCCAGAAGGCCCTGGGGACTGTGATGGGTCATGGCTGGCTTGTGTTGAGAGCACAAGCTCTACAAAGTGCTGGTCCCTCCTCCTGCAGGGTCTTTGTTCCCAAGCACGCCGCAGGGATGCGGTTTGAGCTGCGAAGCTGCGTGACAAGCGAGCAAAAATCATGCGCTGTGCGGGTGGTGCTGGGCTCCATCATGCTGCCTCAATCCTTCCAGAGGATCATCACCTGCACGGGGAACGTAAACTGCAGCCTGGCCCTGGATTCGCCTCCCTGGGAGAAGTGGCTGCAGATCATGCTGGAGAGTCTTGGCGCGGCCAGCGCGAATGTGTCGGTGGAGATGGTGGCTTCCTTCACAGGTGGGCTCCCACTTTGTCCAGCCCTGTGGGGCGGAGCAGAGAGAACGTTGTGTCTGCTGTCTCTCTCGGGCCTTTGGGTGGCCAGCTGTAGTGGCCTGCGTTCCTGAGAGCGCTGGTTGCCTGGGCACAACCTTGGGGGCTGAGACCTAGTTGTTGCTTTGGGATCAGAAGTGAAGGCTCCAGTGTCCACCCAAGGGAAATGCCTGAAAATTTCAGGATCTCTGAACCAATAGTGTTTTCTGAAAGCTGTTTGGGAAGCAGTGGCTGGCCTGAAATCTTACGGGGACGATAGTTTAGTGTAGATGCGCCAAACTAATGATATGTTGACTGTTGGTTGGCCATAAGCAGGCTGCAGACAAGAAACCGTCTCACAGAGGTTAACTTGGGGTAATGTCTTGGGTTGTAGCGAGGGGATGTCACCATTTCAGGTGGCACCTTGGTGACTCAGGAGGTCACAAGGTCCTCGTGGCTGTGATAGGCACCTTTGCATCCTCTTATTACATAACCATGATTCCTGTTTGGCTCTTGGAGCCTTGGAAACTCACCAACTAGGTACATTTAAAAAAATTTTATTCTACTGGGGTTTCTGCCATCTCTTCTTCAAAGGAGAGCCTCCTTTCCACGTGCTTGAGGGCCTGGCACTGGTAGCTCAGGTGTTCGAGGGGAGCACTAGAGTCTCTGGGAGGCTCCAGCTGTGGGACTCCCAAGTGTCACATTTGACTCCAGCTGCCATGACATGATGGCTTGTGCCTGTAGCTGTATTGGATCAGCTTCTCTTTTCTGCTCAGCCTTGTCTGCTTATATATGGGGAGCTGGTAGAGACTTTTATGCACTCTGTGGTTGTGGGACAGCTACGTGCTGTGCTCTGCCACTGGCCAGTGAATACTCCCTGGGTACACTGATGTGTTAGGTCGCTGTGTGTTGTCCCTTCCTCGGTTCCACTTCCCCACAGCTCCTGGTTGCTTCCACCCACTGGCTTTCCTTGGTGTCCCAACCTGCAGATGCTGATGCTAGAGTTCCTGGGGCCTTTCAGGGGCCGTGGCCAACACTGTGGCCTGACCCAGCTGAAATACCCCCAGTTTGTGCTATCACTTGAAGGTCTGGAGCTGCTGGGGCCCTGCCTGGATGAGGTGCTAGTCCTGGCTGTGCTGACTCCTCTCCTTTCTCCCTTTACAGCTTGCAGACCAGGTAGTACAAGTTCATTCCTTAACTTCAGCAGTCTAAACCAGAGCCAAGCTGGTCCCCGACCAGGTAGTGCAGGAGCAGCAGGGAGCTCCACTCTGCCTACAGGAGCCTCACGCAATGTGTCCAACAAGAGGAGCTTCTGTCTGCAGAACCAGCCTGTTGTTCGTGAGGACCTGGACGTCGTGTCTGTGCGCTACAGGCTCTTGAACGGTCCCAGCGTGCCCGTGCACTCCATCTCCCCCACCCTCCTCCTCCTCAACCTGAACACTGGCATGGACAGCGGGGGTTCCCTCGTGGTCAGTCTCCTGCTTAACAAGGTGCGGAGGCTGATGGATGGGATTGTCTTCCCTTTGCAGGGCTTTGTCCCTGCTACTGGGCTCGCTTGGCAGCAAACTCCAGGGGTTGTAGATACCAGTGGGACTATTTCCTTTTCTTTTTCGTTGTTACAAAACACTCTGAGCCTGTTCTAGCCAATTCCAGTGTGTCCCACCTGCTAACTCCAACCCGAATGCCACAGCTTGTTGGCATGTGGTGGCAGTGACACGGAGGAGGTGACGTGGGAAGCAGTTGCAATGCCATCTCCTCCATGGGAGCCTGGTGTCTTGCCAGCAGGAGAGGAGGCTGAGCAGGGAAACCCAGGGATGTTCCTGCCCGAGTTGCTGATTCCCAGACTCCTTCAGTGACACCCAGAAATCAGCCTCCTGAAATTCTGACAGTGCAGCTTGTTGCCAGGGCTGGTTATTGCCTTCCCGAGGGCTGGAGCAGGGCTCAGCCCTGATGTCCTGTTGCCTCTGACTTCTGCCGCCCTGTGCTCACGCTGCAGCGACGGGGTAGGGTGAGGTGAAGGTGGGTTTGCCCAGGAAGAGCTGGGGAATCGATGGGTGATCTTGATCTGCAGGGTTTATTCTCACCTGCTGCTCCTGTATACTGTGGGCAGGAGATGAATTGTGCAGGGGGGGTGGCATCAGGGCGCTCTGACGTGGGTCACTGCTCTGTTTGCACAGACGTCCGTGAGCCTGGGCAACGCCACCGTGGTAGCGTGTGTGAGTGCTGCTTCGCCGGTGCTGTCCCTCGCTGCCACACAGAACTGCAGCACAGGTATGAGAGACGCTGGCACCCGCTGCCAGCTCAGCGACACCAGCTTGGGGCTTTGCTTTTAGACCTTGTCAGCTGTTAACTGACTCGGGGCTTTGGGGGATGTCCCAGGGAAACCGATTTTGGCACGAACCCTCCTGAAGTCCTCGTGCTGGCACGTGCCCAGAGGGGCTGAAGTGCAGGTGCTAGTCTGGCACCAGGAGTCAGCCTCCACCAAAGGAAGGTCTGGTTACCGGCTGGGGCTCTTCCAGCCCCGTTGGCAGGAGGTTGGGGATTGGTCAGTGTATTGCAGAGAAGCTAAGCTCTGGACTGGAGAAATAGCCAAGCAAACAGGCTGTTCCAGCTGCCCTGTACTGTCGAGGCAGGTACTGAGAGCTGAGATGAAAGAAAACCCAAGGGTCTCAGGAGCAAGGGTCCTCTCTGTCCCCCTGGTGCCTCCTGAGGATGGAAGCAAGGAGCCACAGGAGCATCTGATTCCTGTGCAATTGGTCTCAGCCTGGGCTTGCTGTGGGCCCTCCATCCCTAGTCTTGGCACAGCACAGCACCCTCTTTTCTTTAAGCTTTCTTCCAGGGCTACCCTCTGAGCGTGAGCACGTCCTCAGCAGAAGCGATGCTGATTGTCCTGTACCCGCAGACGGATGACTGGTTCCTCTCCCTGCAGCTCATCTGCCCCAAGGGCCAGGGGTGAGTCTGGTGTGTCGTCCTGCCCTGGGGCCGGTTCAGAGCATCCCTCTGCCCTTGGTTAGCATGAGCAAAACTGAACCCCCGTCCTCACTGCCGTGCCGTGGGCTTGTCTCACCTGACAACAGTGGAACTGTGGCTGCAGAGGGGGGGTGGCAGTGCTGACTTCTCTCTCACAAGCACCCAGGCAGCGTGTCTGCTGCCGAGCTGGCACGTCTCGTGCAGACTGCAGATGGCAGAGCCTGCCTGGGTGGGCTTCTCCTTCCCCAGGTGGATTTTTGAGGTGATAAATGGGTAAATGAAAACGCTGCTGTTACTCCTTTGAGGGGTCTCTGAGATGCAGGCAGCCCTGCCCGTACTCCTGTGCTGTGTCTTCCTGAGGGTTCCTTGCATAAGGGGCCAAGCACGCTGTAAACCAGCGCTGGTGATGCTGGTCCTGGGTACAGGGGTCTGCTCTGGGGATCTGGGGAGAGCTGACACCCACCTGCACATGGGTTTGGCAGTCCGAGCGGAGAGGGAGACGACTGCTCCCAGCTCTCGGGAGGGATGGAGCAGATCCCAAAATAGCAGGGAGCTTGCGTGCACGAGCGCAGCCTGACCCGCTGGAGCAGAGTGTTCCCTGGGCGCGGGGCTCCCCGAGGGGCCGGGCTGCCGACACAACCTGCTCTCCTTGCAGTGAATGTAACGCCGCAGAAGCCAAAGTGACCGTCTTCGCATACCTCACCCCCTGCTTCAACGACTGTGGGCCGTACGGGCAGTGCAGCCTCCTGAGAAGACACGGCTACCTCTATGCTGGCTGCAGCTGCAAGGCTGGTGAGTGCCTTTTCCTAGGAAGCTTTTCTGTCGTCCCCAAGGGGGGTGCCACATTTTTCAGTGGTGTTTGGGTATAGAAGGAGCCTGGGCCTGGTGCAGCTGCCAGGAGCAGCCGGGGGTCGCAGCGCCTACCCAGAGAGCCCTCGGCACCTGTGGTGGCCTCTCTGAGAGCACCCTGACTCCCAGGGGGGGCTGGGTTCTGGGGAGCACAGAGTGCCCCAGGGGAAATGGGGAATCAGGCTGAGGACAACTTTCTGCTCAGATGGCTGTTTTCCTTCCAGCTTGGAGTCCCCCAGGGCTTGGAGAGGTGCATCTGAGCATCCCTAGAGAGATCAGGGTGTTGGCAGGGCTGCCTGAAGATGCCCGTGTCAGAGCCTCTGCCTGTCGGGGCAGTTTGTTGCGCAGGGTCCTGACACAGGGTCCCTGTCCGTGCTTTGCCATGGTGCTCTATCTCCTGCCAAGAGCCAGCGTGCAGGCCAGCCCTTAGACTCAGAGATGCCCCTGGAGGAGGAACATCTAGTCAGCTGCTAATTACTTTAATGGGATGAGAGGACTGGGTGAGAGTCAGTGGCACAGGGAAGATGATGGCTCTGCTGTGCTTGGGTGGGTCCATGTACCCGTTCTCAGCAGAAGGACAAGGCGAAATGTGGCTCATTGCTGCTTTGGGCCTGAGCCAGGACATCCCTGCTGTCGGCCGCAGGGCTGATGCTGGGCGAGGAGCGAGATGGAGAACAGCATCCTAATTTCCCCGAGGGGTGCCAGGTTCTGGGAAGCACAGAGCACCCCAAGGGAACTGGGGAATCAGGCTGAGGACAGCTTTCTGCTGAATTGCTTGGAGCAAAATGCCCCATCTGCATATTTGTGACCCAGAAATAAACTGAAGAGAGCAGCTTCCCTGGGCCCTGCCTGGCAGGAGCTGGCAGAAGGGGCCAAGATGCTGCCTTGGTGTCTGGTGGCACTGTAGTAGGATGGATGCTACTTTGAACTCTGCTTGTTGACCGTGGAGTGCCTGCACATACCCCGTCTGCCTGCGACTGACCTCCTTTCCCCAAAAGGAGGGCATGGGCATCCTAATGTTGAATTAAAATAATTTAATTTTTTTTTTAAAAAGGCAGGTTTATGTTCATAGGAGACTGCCTCAGTTCTTAGTGTCCAGTCAGCAGACTGAGCATTGTGTCCTGTGTCATGCACTGTCCTCTAGGAAATTTTCACTCCCACTGTCCTGTGCAGATGTGGATGTCACCATGAGGAGGAGGAGAAGAGTTGGAGGGGGATCGAATCACACCTCTCACTGCCCCCAGGGGTTACAGGGACCCTGGAGCTGGGCTCTTCTGTGGGAGCACAGGGAAAGGTCAAGAGGCCAGACACAGGTTGCAGAAAGGAAACTTCCAGCTAAATCGAAGAGGACAAATTTTCCTCCAGCAGAATTGTTCAGCTTTGCACAGTATCCAGGTCTCCATCCTTGGAGATCTTCACAACTCAGTTGGACAAGGCCCAGAGCTACCTGCCCTGGCTCTGCAGTTTGCCCAGTGGCTTCCTCAGTGCTGTGGACCATGCTCCGCCCTGGTTCCTGGGATCTCTAGGGATCTTGCACCCAGCTTACAGCATCAATCCGCAGCACCTGAGCCTCAAACACTTGATGTATCACCCTCAAGCAGCGTGTGTGTTGAGTTACTGTAGGGATGAGAAGTACCAGGCTGGACAGACCCGTACGGTACATAGGATGGCCCCTGCTATGTGGCAACAACCTGGGGGATGTCCTCAGAGCAGACATGGGGCTCTGCTGGGGTTCCCCAGGAGTCTCCACAGCAGAGCACGCAATGAGTAATGAGACCATCCTGAGAACAGGAGTGTGAGTGGCTGATGGAGCAAGGGAGAGGAGGCTCAGGGGTAGTCCTGGGTTGTGATTGCTGTTTCTGAGGCATCCCAGGCTCCTGCCGGGTGCTGCAGGAGGACGACGCAGGGCGTGGAGATCCACACGATCCTCTCCGCTCCACAGGTTGGGGCGGGTGGAGCTGCACGGACGATACCAAGGCCCAGTCTGTTGGTGCACAGAACCTGGCCACCCTCCTGCTAACCCTGAGCAACCTCATGTTCCTGCCAGCAATAGCAGTTGCTATTTATCGCTACTACCTGGTGGAGGCCTCCGTCTACACCTACACCATGTTCTTCTCCACGGTAGGGATTGCCTTTCGTTGGGTCCCCTGCAAGCCTCCCCTGCGCGTCACCAATGCTCCGTCAGAATGAAGTCTTTAGTGGAGCAGTCCATCCTGAAGCTCCACAAGATGCTTCTAGGACCATGGGACAAACACCTCTACGTTCTCCCCTTTCGGAGCTTGGCAAAAATATTATTGTCACTGGGCTCTTTCACCCACGCTGCGAGTGCTCATATTTGGGGGTGGGACCCCAGGGAGGGGAGATGGTGTTGGAGCACTGAGCACCTCATGGGTGCCGTCCTGGGACCTCTCAGCTGCTGACAGAAGGGTGCAGGTTGATGGCTGCTCTCTGCTTTCTATAATGGCACGGTGGAGCTTCCTGGTGGCACAGGCTGAGCCTTTTCCTGCCTCTCCTTCCCAGAAAGCCGTGTGGTGCTGCTGGATTCATGCTAGCCTTTGCTTTTGTCCCCACCTCTAGTTCTACCACGCGTGTGACCAGCCAGGTGTTGCAGTGATGTGCATCATGGACTACGACACACTACAGTACTGTGACTTTTTGGGCTCTGTGGTGTCCATCTGGGTGACGATCCTGTGCATGTCCCGAGTGAAGAAGATCCTGAAATACGTGAGTGTTGGGTAACCCTGTGCAGCAGGGCCAGACCTGAGCCAGCCAAGCCACGGGTGGCTGTGATGAGCCCTCTCACAGCTGTAGTTTAAGGACACAGCCCAGCCTGGTGACAACGCCTGTTTGTCACTTAATGCCACCCTGAGTTTTAAACCAGTGGGTTGTTTTGTCCCAGGATCATGAACCTGGGCGCTTGTAGGGACTGGGCCTGAAGGGACTGGGATTTGTGGGAAAGGTTTGTGGGTCCTCTGGTTTCTCCTTCTGAAGGTGCTGCTCCTGAGTCCTGCATGCACGTGGGGCTGGGTGGCCAGGAGGCGAGGCCCTCGCTGCCTCTGGCATGGTTGGCCGTGCTCTGGCAGCAGATGAGGTGCTGATAGTACCGGTGGTGTCTCATTCCCAGGTCCTTTTCGTCTTGGGGACCCTGTTAATTGCCATGTCCCTGCAGCTGGACCGCAGAGGGGTGTGGAACATGATGGGGCCCTGCCTCTTTGCCCTCGTCATCATGATTGCTGCGTGGGTAAGTGAGGGCAGCCAGACAGGACCTGCTGCCCTTAGCTCCCCTCCAGGGAATGATGCTAGCAGAGCAGACCCCAGACTCCAGCTGATCCACAGGCAGGGCTAGATCTCCTTCAAACACCAAGGTAGAGGGAGGGCAGGGCGAGGGATTCACCTTCCATCCCTCCAGTAGCTGAGAAATCCCTCAGTTAATGGTCTCGGCAGAGTCTGTCTGCTGCAGCTGCAGTCGAGGGCTGGCCTGTGGCTGGAGTGTTGTCCCAGAATGGATGGCTGTTGCCTGTGCCCTGGGCAGGAGCCGTGGCATCACCACAGCCCTCTGCGTGCTGGGCTTTGGTGCCCCAGCTGGGCAGGGGCTCTTGCATAGCAGAGATGGGCCCAAGAAGGGGGGAGGCTCAATTTCTCAGGGGCAGCAGGCACAGCCTCTTGCTCTGAGGTTGGCAGGTGCTCCTGGGTCAGGCAGTGCTGCCTCTTTCCTCCTGCCTGAGCTTCTGGTTGGCCCCTTAACCCTTCTGTGCTTTCATACCTCCAGGTTTACCACGGAGTGAAGCGCAGACACTGCTACCCCTCCTCGTGGAAGCGCTGGGTTTTCTACCTCCTCCCAGGGATCACCTTGGCTTTCATTGCCATCTCAGTATATGCATTCATGGAAACCAATGAGAACTACTACTACACCCACAGCATCTGGCACGTGCTGGTGGCTTGCAGCGTTGCTTTCCTGCTTCCTCCCCGGGACAAGCATAAGAAGCCCTGGGCCTGGTCACAGAAGCTCACTTGTCGCTATCAGATCTGCCAGAACGACCGTGAGGAGCTCTATGCTGTGACCTGAACTGCGTGGCTCCTGGCCGCAGAAGTGGGGGGCTGCTGGGGTTGCTCTTTGCCTGGGCTGCCCCGCTCTCGCACGTTGGCAATCCTCTTCCGTGCTCATTCGCTGACTGGGAGAGCGCGGTATCGACCGGGTTTAAAGATGAAGGTGGTGCCCTTATCTTGTGAAGGCAAGTTTGAGGCCACCTCTGCTTTTCTGCTGGGATGGGGTCAGGCTCTTCATGGTTCTAGATCAAGGAATAGCCTGTCCCCCAGCTCCACATGGCCCTGGGGGAAATCGCCAACCCTTCTTCCCCTCCTGCTGCGTCCGTGAGGCTTGGGCATAGCCCATGCTGAGCTGGATCCAGGACTTTGGCTGCTGGGCTCTTCCCTGCACGCCCTGTCCTGGCAGAGGGCTCTGGGATGGGGATTTCCCCTGCCATCCTGCAATCAGCATTCGAGCCGAAGAGAACGGGTTTCTTCTGATCTGAGGGGGCAAGTGATGCTGCATGCCCTTGGCGCTGGTGGGGAGGGAAGGAGCTGATCTTGGCGTGTGCTGGGCCCTTGGCCACTGTCTCCATGGGGGGCTGGAGCCTCTCCCTGTGAAACAGGTGGTGCTGTTCTTACCTGTTCCTGATTCAGGGTGGTGGGTGGGAGCCGGGGAGGAAAATGAGACTTGGACTTGGGCCCTGTGTTCAGGATCAGTCTTGGCAGGAATGTGAAAAAGCCCCGTGTGGGGACATGCAAGAGGCATCAGTAGCATCTTGCCCAGAGCTGTGAAGCCCCCAGCAGTGCAGGGTTTAGTTTAAGTTTAACTTTAGCCCTCTTAGCTCATCTGGCAGGATCCAAGCTGCTGTGCTGTCCTCTTCCTCTCTCGATGTTCAGGTATTGACTGTCTTCCTCCCTTCTGTGGGTTTGGCACGTGTACAGATCTGCCTGGGGCAGTGTAGGTGGTCCAGGATGGCGACTCAGCTGCCCACCCCCTGCTCCTCCAGCCTGCTGTGCCTCAAAGGCTGAATGTGCTGTGGAGTCCTGGCCGGTCTGAGGCCACCAGCGATGTCCCACCGCAGCCAGGAGCATCACCACAGGCTCCCCAGATGGCTACAGTCTCCCTCGCAGCATCTGTCTCACCTTAGCCTTACTATAGGGCACACAGGCATCAGAAAGCAAGGACAGAAACTTGGCAACCAGGAAAGCTGTCTTTGCCCGTCCTCAGCCTATAGATAAGGGCTCAAATACATCGTTTCTTGCTGGCTTATTCCAGCTGTGGTTGGTCTGGTGTGCGCTGCTGGGAGCCCCTCCTCAGGTGGCTTTGGGGAGGAATGAGCTATTGATGAAGGATTTGCCTCCAGGTTATTTCTTTGCTTTGAGGAGCGCCCAGCCTTCTGCTCAGCTCTGCACTTTATCCCTCTGCCTCCCCTTCCTCTGCAAACTCCGACTTTTTAAACAGATGCAGGACAAGCAAAGAGCACTGGCCCGTGCCCAGCGCTGTCGTCCCCACGTCCCACGACAGCATGGCGGGAAGGGGGGACGCGGGGCCCTCAGGGCTTCCTCAAACTTTTTATCACTTTTAGGCACTTTTTTCCCTGACCCCGCCTCAGTTTGCACAGTGGTGTTGCAGCCCAGGTGCTGCCGGTTCCCAGAGAAAGCAATAATTCCTTTCCCTTCAAGGGGCTTCCGCGCTGCCAAGCAGGAGAAGCTTCGGGGCGAGAAATCCCGCGAACGCGATTGTTTGTTTTGTGTTTGATTGTCGAAATTCTGCTTTTGTCCTCCACCCCTGCGCCTGTTGGCCCTGACACGAGGTTGTGTCGGTGTCTAGGAGGGGGGAAGGGGGGTGGTGGTGTTAGTTAATTATTTTGGGTTAAATCTGAGCGAATTCCTGTGTCTGGGGGGGAAAAAAAAAAAAGGTTGTGGGTTGTTTTGGTGGGTTTTTTTTTTGTTTTCTTTGCTGTTCGTACCTGTGATTATTTTATATGGTAAATTTTAAAGCTTACAGTTTTATAATTTAATAAAGGTACTTGAGGGCAAAGAGGTGGCGGCTGGAGCTGGGGCCGATGGGGCCGAACGCGGGCGCGGTGCGG